GTAAATTTCATGTCAAAATAAAAATGTGCTACCCAAAGCACGTTTTTTGAATTCACTGTAGAACAATTTTATTTGCTAAGTTGACATGCAATTTTCATTTCTTTTGAATAATATACAAGTAAGCTAAATGATTTGAATAAATTTATGTAGTCAAGAGCTTCATTTATTTATAAATTCGGAATAAATAAATGAAACTAGAGTATTCAGAAGTAATGGAAATTTTCATGCAAATTGATTTATGTGTATTCCAACTTGATTTGTTTATTATATTTATTTTATTTTATTTCAATGATTATCACATCTTCAATGTGTCAAAAGGAAAATGGCTGCCACTACAGCAATATACAGCAATGGCGGTTCGTACTTAATGTGAGTTAAGTACGTACACAGAAAAACAAAGTTTTTAAATTTAATAAGAATGTTATTCATTTTTTTTAAATATATTTATTAAAATAAATAATATTAAGAATAAATAAATGCTTCAATAACATTGAAAATTCATTTAGTATTCGATTTTCTACCGAAGCAAATTCAATTTCATTTGGTTGATCGAAGTTACCAAATGTGTCAATGCATTTCAGGAGTAATGAGATTTGTTCATTGAGATTCAAAAGGGAATACGTTTGAAGTTTATCATTAGATTTCTACCGAAAAATTAAATGAATTTATTTTTTTCATGTGTATTTTTTACAATTTATTAGTCCAATGAATATATCATATTTTGAATTTATAAAATGTGGAAATTTAACAATTTATTAACACGGTCTTCCTAGCGTTCTCCAAATACTGTATTTAACGAAATTTAACCAGATTTAGAGATTACGAGAGATTACTTAAAATTCATGTGAGTTCGTAGTAATGACACTAGGTACACGTAGTCATGACACTAGGTACACGTAGTTACTCACAGTTCATGGCTTATGCAAGAGGCGCTCCAAAAAAGGTGGTTTTTTCCCATTGCAAACATTTCCCTTGGTATGTCTTTGAATAAGTCACGCTTCGGAAGGCTGACAAAGGTGCACATAATGAGAGATTTAAGTTGATTGAGTAGAAAGCTCGATGCTTTTCGAATCACGATACGATCTTTTCACACAGCCGCACGTCATCAGTGTCGGGCACATAAGAGTAAATGTACTTTAATTTATTAAAACGCCAACGATAGCGACGATGTGAGCGACAGAATGAGATCCTTTCAATTTTGGAATGGGTTGTGTGTTGGTGTGGTGTGTATTGGTCTATTTCTAATGCGTTTCTGGCGAAAGGACTTGTATGATTTCAATATTTCAAAAGCCAAAATGAAAAGTCGTTCGGTCGTATTCCGAGATTCCGATTCTATAGAATGTCACCCATTGAGAAAATGTATTGGCTTGAAGGAATGTGGCCAGATTTGTGAAATTTCGTCTACGCCATGGAAGTGCTTTGTTCAATAAAACACGGTCGGATGCCTGATTTTCCATCTCCTTTTCCGAATCAACATTCAACATTAAGCACAATCAAATATTCCATTGCTAGCCGTTCTTCTACGTGTTTGAATCAAAAAAAAGGAGAAATATGTCTAATGTGATTCCACGCTCACTCTTTCTCCGTGTCGAAGGCAAAAACCACGGATTTCGCTTGTTATGTACGTTTTCAATCAGAATCTATGGTGAATAATAAGAAATATGCACATTCACCGATTTTGCCGATAAGAAGTCAACAAGCTAGCATTAAACTGACGGGATAAAACATTCCCTATGTATGGCAAATAACGTATTCTGATTGCGGCTGGTGAAAGAGAATAAAAACAAACTCGTCCACATTGAAACTGAGAACGGTTCAGTGTTGATTATATGTGATGAACTGATGTTGCCACGTTCACATCGTTTTTTTTTCATTCTTTCTTTCTTCGGTTCTCTCGGTCACATTGTATTCTAGTGGAGGAAAAAAAGGCGATTTCTTTAAATGAAACCTCATGCATGCTCTTTCTCTCGCTCGCTCGCTCGCTCATAAATTACAGTGGCCTTTTTTAGTTTTCAATATGTTGTGCAAGTGAGTCCAAGCGTTTGTTATAATAGAAGCAGAAGCCGATAACAGACGACTGAACAGAGGTAAATCCAAAATCTACAACATTCTGCTGTTAACTTGATATATACAATTTTTTGTTTCGTTCGTTCCATTTTGACATCACTTCCATCAATGCCTACGCATACGATCCCGTTTTAATTCCGTACACACTTTTCTCTCACTCGGAGCTTGTTCGCTGTAAAATGCAAACTTTTCTGCCCAAACACAACAAGGGTTTTGTTTTATGGAACAAGA